AACAAAAGTGATCCTCCTGTATGTGATTTGTGTAATGTACCTCTTACAGTGACCCATTTAATTGTGCAGTGTAAAAAATTTTTGCTTGAAAGAAATCAGCACAAGCTACCTAATAATATGAAGGAAATTTTAAATAGTAAATTGCACTCTACAAACCTAATCAAGTTTCTATATGCAGTGAATCTATTACACAAACTGTAAATAAATGTTTCAAAAATGTATTATTAAATTACTGTATACGCTCTTGACCTTGTAGGTTAATGCATTATTTTTAAATAGAAAAAGAAAACAATAAAAATATGTTGTACTAGGCATTGATGGTTAGGCATAGCGTCAAATAATAGTATATTACAAACCGAGGTGGGAAGAGTTTCATTCCTGTTGTGAGATTAGTTAGATCACCGAGACGCGAAGCGTCGAGATAAGCTATGATCTCGAGACAGGAATAAAATTTCCTACCGAGGTTTGTATACTATTTTATTTACGACCATAATATTTCGATCAAAGTTAATAAATCTCTGTTTTGTTCTGAACATACCTAAAATATTACATTTAACGACAAATTACCAAGCGCGCGGTTTTCTCAGAATAATCAAGTAGGTAAATATATTGTTACTGTAATTACGGGGTAAACAACTGTCACCAATATAAATAAATGTCAGATAAAGCCGGATATTAAATTCGCGAAAAATAAATATCAATAAGTAGTGTTATATTTTAGATCATTGTTGTTTTTTTATCGTTTGCCATTAAATAGGTATTATAAAATTTGTCAAACACTGTGTTATTTTTTTTTTTAAATATAAAAAATATTCATCCAGAATAGATGAAATGAGGGCGGGAAGTACAGGTGTGTAATGTGACACTTCCCAACCTTCAATGATGTTAGTAATGACAACATTACATATATGGTTGTAAATAAACACTTTTTTTCCATACCCAACTTCGATTTGATTAATTGTTACCTAGAGTGGGGAATCAGGTAAAAAGTTACTTTTGGAGTAATACATATTCTTAGTTTCTTTAATTTAATGAAAATATATTTATACACAAAAAATAACCTTTTTAATTCCACAGTGTATTTTACATGATTAGTTGAATGCAATTGTCGTTATAGCAGTTACAAATCAGTCGTGTAATTTATAGCCATAATTTATCAGCAATTACTAATAGTTATTGAATTAAAATGATTAATGTTTATTCCACTACTGGTTAGTATTTGTTTTGTCTTAATTTGTTAAACGTTTGTTGAGTATTCAACGGATTACAACCATGGAGGTAGAAATTTGTAGAAGTATGTATGAATATTAATGATGTTAATAAAAAGTAACAGAGGCTAACATTAAGAACTTTAAAGTTATATCTTTACTTGTTGTGAATAAAAGGCCTTTAGTTGCTACTAAAGTTTTTCTGTGAATAAAACTCAAACACTACAATTTGTGAGTCTGAACGAGATCACACTTAGATTTTTGTTATTGGTAAATATTTTTATCATTGCGATGTTTATGCATGTATAGGAAAGAATAGTTTATTGTAAAATTCGAGAACATTTAAAGAAAAGCACTAAATCCAAGAAAACGAATGGAAATATTTTTACGCTACATTGCTGACCCTTGTTTTCAGAGTGAAGTGGAACGCTACTCAGTAAGTAAAATTATAAACTGTGTTATGGAGGATATTCTTGAATGTACACATAACTGGATCTATTTTCCTAACACAGTTCAAGAGGTAAACAATGCAAAATCGTTATGACAGAGACGATTTGATTTACTACACGTTGTAGGAGCATTAGATTGTTTACATGTACAGATAAAAAGGACTTTTGCTTTTGATGAAAAATACATTAATTGTAAAGGTTATATTGCAGGCGCCAAAGGAAGTTGAGTATGCAAAATGTGAGGAAAGCCAACTATGCTCAAATTCTTTTACCTGAGACACCAAACAAAACAAAAAATCATGTTACCGGCAGTTGTGTTGGTCCCTTTCCATTTTACCCGCCTTTCGCGATGCTCTGTGCGTCTATGTGTCAAAGCGCTCGTAATTAGGCATTCCAACGACCTGTCCAAATGGCTACCAGTGGGTAATGACAGTTTAGATATGGCAACCCTGTTGTCATGTTGTCATTAACAGGGTCAATGATACATATATAGTTGTATAGATTGCTCAAAGCTGGTCGTTTACGAGCGGCCATATTGCCTGGCAAATATTTATTAATTTGAATCTGTTTAGCAAAAATGTGTTTTAAAACCAATTTTTAGCCTTTAGATATTTAAAAAATAACTGCTTACATTTTTACTTCAAGGGATAAGCTTATGTTTATTTTCAAAAATATGGATGATCAATCTATTTCATTGAACTTGTCAAATAACCAGGCCTACAGGGTTGCCATAATTTTGTCATATCATAACCCACTGGTAGCCATTCAGTTTGGAATGCCTAATTAGGCATTTTACACAAAATGGATGCTCGTAGGTAATGACAGGCACATGACAGGTTATAATATGGTAACACTGTGTGCCTCACATACTTTGATTTTCTTTACTATACGGTGCAAGAGAGAGGTCCGACACGCCCAACATAGGGCGCGGCCATTTTGATTCCTATGCCACAGTTTATAGCTAAATAATCAGGTCGCTCACTCTGCGTCGGCACTTTTGATCTCAATGTTCCAGTTTATACACTGCGCAACTCGGATAATACAATATATGACAACCGCCTATAATAAAACCGCAGTCTTCTGCGTATTCTGAATTTATATCCCTGGAGTGGATGTTATTTTGGAACTTTCAACTGGTCCGAGTGAGCTAACTGATTCTTTAACAATAAACAGTGACTCCAAAAATAATATTCACTGACACTAACAGCAGCAAGCAAAATATCAGGTGCGTTTTAATCATCCGCTTCTGCTTCCGGAATTGTCGGTTTAGTCGTTTTAACCTGTCAGATTAAAACAAGAAAACCGACAATACCGAAGCAGAAGTGGATGATTAAAACGCACCCATTAAAAATATTGCGCCAAGATGTAGGCAACACGTAATAAGGGATCAAAATGGCGGAGTTTTCTATCTCCTTTTAAAAGGTACTCAGAAAGCTGCGCAGTGCGACCTTTCTCCTCCGAGCAATTACTACGCTCGGAGCCTTTCTCCGTATAGTAAAAGAAAATCAAAGTATGTGGTGTGCCTGGTGAATTGACAGGGTCAATGATATAGATAGTTATCTAGACTGAGCAGCCATGTTTTTTGAAATAAACAGAAGCAGATGCCTTGAAGTAAAAGTGTAGGTCATTATTATTTTTAATATATTCAAAGGCTGGAATTTCGTTTTAAAACACATTTTTGCTCGATCGATTCAAATTAATGAGCACTTTGCCAGGCAATATAGCCGCTCGCAAACGACCCGCTTTAAGCAGTTTATATAACTATGTATGATTAAACCAGTAATTAGTGGGTAATGCAGCAAATAAAAGAGTACTTTTTTAAGTTTATTCCAAGCTTTCGGACATGTTTATTTCCATCATCAGGGAGACTAAAATAAAATAATACCACATATTATGATAAAGTAAGGTAAAAAAAAATTTTTTGTCATCACTTACATCTTAATTAAGGTTGTTCATTTTGGTGGTATTATTCAGTTTAGTAAAAATACAAAGTAAAATGGACAAGCTGAAGTCAATTACAACCTTAATTAAGATGTAAGTGATGACAAAAAATTTTGTTTACCTTACTTTATCATAATATGTGGTATTATTTTATTTTAGTCTCCCTGATGATGGAAATAAACATTTCCGAAAGCTTGGAATAAACTTAAAAAAGTACTCTTTCATTTGCTGCATTACCCACTAATTACTGGTTTAATTATTAACTAGTCAGCAACGACTATCAACTCTCTTAACTATGTATGTATCATTGACAACAGGCCCACAGGGAAAAGTAAAAAGTTATCCGATTTTATTAAGAAAGTAAATTTGACAACCTTGTAACTACTTCTGAAAAAAAAAAATAAAACTACTTCTAATAAAAAGTTGCAAGATGTAACAGACATAAGCCTCTTTCAAAAAAAAAAAAAAAATATGTTGGCTATTCAACGTGGATTCGACACAAAAATTTTAGCATCTTACGAAATTTTGAATTACTGCAAGTACTTGAAGGATTTTACAGGAAATCTCCAAAATCGGAACTCGCTCTTGAAATTAAAAATAATTTTATGTGTGGTGTAAACACACGACAAGACGTTTAAATCTCACATATTTAAAAGAATATATTGTTGATAGTCTGGCAATCCAATTAAAAAAATTTAACAACACCTTTGGCGATTTTGCTGAGGCATTCTTCAAAAGAATTCATAATATTTGCTAAATTTAAAACAAGTAGATATTGAGTCAACTTTACGGAGTAACAGTCAACTGACCAAAAATTTTATAATTTCAAATGATCACACAAAAATTCCAACTAACTGTAAAAATTTCTTTGGTAGCACTGAAAATAAGTTATAGCTCGTTCGATTTATCCGTTTTTGCTGCTCCTAGTTATGCAGAAGTAAGAGAGTATTGCCAGTTATAATATATTTGTGGAGAATTTGATGATCTATCAAGATGTTTGAAATTATAAGGCTCTTTATTTTTTGAAGTACCTGACTTAAATTCGAACCATTTAGAAGTTGATTCAAGGATATTTAGTCACATATTTCACGCAGTGAAAATCTAATCTGCCCATGGACACATGTTATGTTCTTGACGGTGGTGCACTACTACACAAATTGCCATGGCCAAGAACTGAAAAGTTTTCAGATGTGTTAGAACTATATAGTAGTCATATAGCTAACCATATAAAGTTGTGACAGTTGTATTTGATGGCTATACCACCTCCAATATTAAGGCTGCTGAGCATCAGATACGCACAAAAAAAACGTCGGTAACAATTAAATTTACCAAGAGCTCTCCACTTCTTATCGGCAAAGCACCTTTTCTTGCTAATAATGAAAATAAACAGCGCTTTATTACCATGCTAGGAAAACACTTAAATGCTAATGGCCACACTGTGATTCATGCTACAGATGATGCTGACACACTAATTGTAAGAACAGCACTGACCTTGGCAGAAGAAAAGCACGTAACAGATGTTGCTGATGACACCAACATTCTGGTACTTTTAATTTACCATAACACACGAAATATTTGCTTGCAATCATCTACGTTCAGAGATAGAAAACGTGATATTAAATCCATGCAACATATACTTAGTGAAAATGGGTGCAAAATCATTCTCATTTCCCACGCTTTAACCGGATGCGATAACACAAGCTCCTTATTTGGGAAAAGTAAATCGGCAGCATATCGACGTTTTTGGAAATCTGAACAATTTAGCATTTGCGCTACTTTGTTTGGATCAGAAAATGCAAACAGAAATGAACTTACAGACAATGGCACCGAAGCACTGGTATCGTTGTACGGTGGAAATCCAAACACAGAGACCTTAAATCTACTACGATATAATCTCTACTTGAAAAAAATCACAACTGCCAAAAGTGAATTCAATATTGCAAGATTGCCACCAACTGAAGATGCTGCTGTTTAGCACCTTCTTCGCGTACATTTACAATGCCTTTATTGGAAAACTATGAACACCAATATTACCAACCCCGAAGAGTGGGGTTGGAAAAAAGTAGGAGACCAACTACAGCCCATAATCTGCAAAACGAGCCCTGCACTAGAATTATTACTTAACACAATCCGCTGCACCTGCAAAACGGATGCAAATGAGCCGTATGGTAGTGGTAGATGTACTTGTCGACGATATGGTGTGGAATGTACTGAGATATGCTGCAACTGTTCTGGTCGCGATTGTACAAATAATGCCTTGAAATAACATGTCGAAAATAATAAAGAAGACTATTAGACTCAATTTTTGCATTTTTTATGCAGCCTTTTGATTATTAAAAATAAAATTTTTAGATAAGCTTCCTATTTTACGCCCACCACTTTGTTATTATTTTTTATCTTTTTTACTCATTATTATAATCTTTTTCAGCATAAAATTTTCCATTATTTGATACAACACACGATTTTTCATGAATTAAAAAAAAATGGCGGTCAAAAAACGCATTTCGCACACTAACATTTTTCTAGACTTTTAGTATATTGAAAGGATATGAGTAATGAGCTCAAAAATTCAAACCCCGTATTTGTAGGAATGTTCCACGTTTGGCCAATTTTTTGTGTAAATCTGCTATACTAATATCACAAACCCTAGAGTTGCCTAGAGCTGATAGAGATGTTTTTATCCTGGGAATTTATTTCTGGAATAAGTACTAGCTTATTTTTAGGTTTAGGTTGTTTACGTCTATATTTTGACGATTCTTATAAGAAGAAATACCTTTCCGGATGTCGTTTGGCTGTTCAATCCTTTGGAATTGGTCTCGAAAAAAAAAATGGTTTAAAAGCTGCATCGTTGGAGTTTGTACAAAAAGCTCTAAGGCATTTAGGAAATCCTTACTTAAGTTTTGAACAGTTTAAAAATCATTTGCTTCTACATTTTCTCATTAGATGCTCTACATTTATATTTGTTAAGAGTTTCAGCACAAATATAGGTATAGATAAATTATAACCTAATACTACTATAGCCTATTGATAACAACTTATTAGGCTATAAAAAAAAGATAGTAAATTATACCTATGGCAACTGACAAAGCGGCCATTGCCAGAGTTGTTGATTCAGTCCTGTTAATGTACATCAAATTGTCAAACAAGGGCTTTTTCTTGCAAAAAAATACAAAATTATATTTTGTTGTGCAGATGTATTAATATTGACTGTCATTGAATATTTTTTTAATGGACTTCTTTTTTGTTTCTTATTTTCAATTGACTAGCTATAAGAACCTTTAATCACAAGAAACAATTGGATATTGTCACTAAAACATTAATTAAAATGGTTCAAAAGTATTTGTTTAGTCCATTTACTTGATATCTAAGGAAATGGGGTGTAAAAAATAAAGGAAACAACAAATTTCCTGGCAACAACCAGAATCATATTCTGCAAGATTTTCTGAGTTCAAAAGTATGTACAGCATGAGGTCCTCATATTTTGCACACTCAACTTCATCCAGATCCCGGTCTATAATGGCAATATTAATGTTTAAGCAACGTGTGGTGCGCAAGAAAGGTTTACAAGCATTTGGGCGCAGTGTCTAGGGTCAGTACACGATTCGAGAATATGGCGGCGCCGGCTAGTGAAATTCGTTACATTTCTCAATGCGACGGTATAGCTTGTTTGCTTGATAATACCAACTACGGTAGAGCTCTATGGTTTAATAATTATTCAAACTGTTATTGGAAGAAGATTCAGTCGCAAACACGCTTCAGAAAGATTGATAATAGAAAGATTATTTGGTCAGCTAACAAAAAGTTTGTCCATCTTAAGCAACTGTGTGCAAGTATCACTGGAGAAAGTACCTAAGCTTGTAGCAAGCTATTCAGTATTCTACAATGTCACCAAATATCTTAAGAATAAATTTGACTTTAAGGAACTGGAAGGTAAAGAAGATGAAGATGAATTAGAAGAGGGAGTTGACGGTTATATACATGAGAATATTTCAATAAATCGCCGTGGTGAACAGAATCGAGATAAGATGTTACATTTTATTTAGTCCAGTCAAATCGTATTCGAGGCTTCCTGTTTCAACAAAAAATATAGAAGATTCTTTCTCATTCGTTTTATATGTTTTTTGGGATGCTAAATATGAATTTTAACTCTGCTACTTCCTACGGATATGGCTTTACAAAAAAGTCGCAAAAACCTTAATGTTATCATACAGTAGAATTTAAAAATAATGTTCAAATTTATTATTACTATAAATGCTACTTCGCTTATGGGTATTTTCATAAGATATAGGGAAGACCGGCTGTCAAGTCCTCTGGTTTGATCTACTGCTGTAACGCATCGACTATTTTATTCAACCAGTTTAAAAACAGTAACTGCATCTGTCTGTACTTCACTGTCTTTAGTGATCTTTTTTCAAGTAACTCAAGTTCTTTTTGTTCTTTTCTCATTTAAATTTTTCGCTGCTGAGAATGTTGTAAGAGAACGACTGTCTGCAACTAAGATGTTGACAGATCTCTTGTTTCTTCAGTTTCAAATGACGTCAGACTTTCAATCCTAATATTACATATTTTTTATTTCTACATTGCTATTTTCAGATATTTAAGGTGAGAACTTGAAGTATTGGCATCCTCATTAATGTTATGCTTGAAATAGTCATCTTTTTCTTATGATGCTTTCCTAATGTATCGCTCCTGGAAATTTAGTGAAATCAGGATTCGTTTCTTCCACACCCAATAATGCCAAAAATTGTTTCTCCCAATTTTTCAATAATTTGATTTTCTTGTTTCCAGTAGCTTCAGTATAATTTTTTTTTTTAATTAGAGCTTATAAGTTTTGTAACATTTGACTCAATTGTAACGGAGTAACATAGATTCCGTTCACTTCGGAATATTCTTTACAGACTATTTCCCACGATTTCTTTTTATGTTAAACAATTTTTGGAATTATAGATTTTTCCAGTAGCACTGGATGTTCACTAATCAATTTGACAAACATATCTCGGTCCACATTCTTCTTTTCAAACTCGTCTTCGCTCTCAGAAGACGACATTTTTATTAGAATGAAAACAATAACCAAAAAACTGAAAGAATACAAGACAAAACAAATCCGACCACGTGGTGCGAGAGTTAATAACTAATAGCGCCGAAGGAGAGTAGAAGTTCAACAAGTAATATAAATTTTAGTCCTGTGTCCCATTTTTCCACTTACTCACAAGTAGTAACTACTACCTATTGTTGGCATCTGCTTAATCACGTCGAATTTAGTTAAACCTTAGATTCTAAAACATAGATGCGTTTTATTGACATTGCCCATATTTTTGGATGTATTTAGTTTACGGTTTTTATGATAATTTTAAAAATATTAAATGTCTTATTGTTTAATTACCGTAGGTAATAGAAACATCCTAATAATAATTATTGGATAATTAGATCTTTCTGGGCAAACAGAACGCTGACTCGTAAATAAGACTGAGATTCAATCGATCTTCACTTAATAAGTAGTGTAAACAAAGTCACCTGAATAGAGTCTGGCTTTTAGGGTTTTTGGAAAATCAATAATGTATGCAAGATTAATGTTCTTAACTGAGATTACTTCTTATATTATGTTAGGACTAATAAATGGGAGATTACGTTACTAACGACTATAATCAATTATGTACTAAATTTACAGATCGTCGCATAAGCCACATTTTCTAATGATCCCATAGTTGATTTTAATCGTTGGCTTTCAACTCGGTGAATTTCTATATTTGCAACGGTGTCTGCCTATTTCATGGTTTAATATTTTTCATATAAATAGTTTGGTCTAAACTATAAGTTAAGAAGGTAACTTCTTCCAATTTGGAGGGCGTTAAAGGTTTATTGTGTTTCAACAATAAATGCTGGTGTTTAGATTTAGGTGCGGGTATGCACATAATTATTTATATTTTTGATTTCATAATTGTAAAAGGTAGAAATTAAAATTTCACTACCAAAAGTTTTAAGCAACTTCCAGAGAAAAATTGCTGGAAATTAAACTTTAAATATAAAAAAATAACTTTATCAATAAAAAAAATTTCTACTATGATTACACAAGTTTCAGTTGTTTCGGTGTCAACCTTAGAGCCTTCAGCGTCGCTCAGGGGTGGATAGCTATTAAAAATTCAAGAAATAGTAGACAAATGAAAGGCGCCAACTGGGTCTATATAGTGGCCAAGCTATGTTCCTATTTCCTCACAAACCCAGTAAATAAGGAAAGAAATAAAAGACAAACCTTAACTTATGTTCCTTTATAATAAATTTACCAATCATCTCAATTGGACGGCGTTATTCAGAAAACTACCAACCCACAATATACCAGATATTAGGTTGAGTGCGGATTTGGGTAATAAAATACACGTTCTGCATTCTGTAAGAACCTACCAAGCCTCAGTTAATCCTATAGTATATCCTATAAAACTAAAAAATGCTAGCCCATATCCTATAGCTGTCTTAAACAAACAAAAAGTTTAGAGTTGATTATCTCAGGATGTCACTATTGAGGGTTAGTAGCTTTCTGCTTAATGCCGTCCAATTATTATTAACAGTTTTACAAAATTACATTTAAGAAACAAATCTGTTTGCCAAAAGAAAAAAAACTCAAAACTTAGAGTTCAAGAACTTACACTTAAAAATAGACATACAATATTTAAATTGTTCAATAAGCTAGTAAGCAATTTACCTTATGGCTTTTGATGAATTCATAAATAGCTAAATATGGTAAGACATTAAAATAATGTATATGTCATAAATGTAAATTACATGAACCAATAAGAAAATTAATTCATCAACAGATTACATGGTCGGTATTTTGCTTAATACCAAGGGAAGGACGTTTGTGCAGGATAATATGCAAATATAGTGAAATCCTAACTTCTACCTTTTACAATTAGGAAATCAAAAATATAAATAATCATGTGCATATCCGCATCTAAATATAAACATCAACGTTTAATGTTT